GGACATGACCACCACCAACAAACCTGCTTCAGCATGCTCAGCTGAACAGGTTTGACCAGTCATTGTGTTTCTGCTGAACACAGACACAGAGTTTCACAGACTGGTCCTATTTTTAAAAACATAGGCCAACACACATCCGTCAAACACTCGAGACCCCGACAGACACAGCAGTGAACAATAAATGATTGTGTCTTGAGAAGTGATCCTGAATCTTAAACTGCAGGTGGCGGCGCATGTGCACATGAGTTTGAACAGCCGAATGAGAGACAATGAGACTGAGTTGTATTGTTTGCACAAAACCACAAACATTTATCTGCCCAGGAAACAATCCAAAATGTCAACACTTACTTCCTACAGTCAAACCTGACTCACTAACACTCATTTACTCACAGGTTATAACGTATACCTGTCTGTCACAGTTTCATGTTTCTACTACTCTGCTTTATGTATCCCTGAGGTTTGTTCATGCTTGGAAAAAATGTAAAGCTGAATAACAGGTTGGAAAACACAAAGAAAGAGGAAAGGGGGAGGGAAGAGACAAAGAAGAGAGCAGGGGGAGGGAGATGATAGAAAGAGAAATAACGTCTTCCTCTCTGTGCTGTCAGCTTTATGCAATAGGAACTTCACTTGCTTTAAACACTGCTGGTCTGTCATAAACAGCAAAGGACAAAGATCACAATCTTTTAGTCTTTTAACAGCTAGTTGTTCGGTTCTTATACCTTCAAATATCTGTACTGGAAAACTTGGTCACACTTTACTTGAAGGGGTGTGCATAAGACTGACATGGCACCTTCATAATTATGACATGACACATGTCATAAATATGAAGGAGGTTTTATGCATGTTTATGACAACTGTCATTGTGTCATTCGCTCAGTTATGTAATTTTTAATGCAAATATGATATTATTTGACCTAACCCTACCCCTACCCTTACCCCTAACCATAGCCCATAACAAAGACATCTCAAACAATGTCATCTTTGCATTAAAAATTACATAACTGAGCGAATGACACTTAATGACAGTTGTCATAAACATGCATAAAAAACCTTCATATTCATGACATGTGTCATGTCATGATTATGTAGGTATCATGTCATGATTATGAAGGTGTCATGTCAGTCTTATGCACACCCCTTCAAGTAAAGTGTAACCGAAAACTTAAATAGTGGCAAGTACCACTATTACTCATACTTAAGGTTAGAGATTTGACATCAGACAAACATCAGAGTATTAAACTTTCATCCTGCACCCTTTATGCCACAGACTTTAATTATACCTCAAATTATGTTGCGTTTGCTATTATTTTCCTAACTCATCCGAATTACAGTTGATGATAAAATGGGCTAAAATAATATATTTGCAGTGAAAGAGTGACATACTGCATCTGAAGACCAAAGAAAGGGTTATTTTGAGCAAGTAGCCAAGTAGCATGGTAAAATTGTACCTAAGACACGAACATACTGCCAAGTTCTGCATGGGCAAAACAACTTAGGCTACATTTTCTTCACAATATGTAAATATATAAATTTATTTGAATTAAGGTATTCAAATGTTCCGCAGGATACAGCGGGGTTGCCAGCTCTGCAAAACAAAACTAGCTCAATCGTGTTTTTTTTCCCCGCCAGTCCGTTGGGGGTCCAAAATAACATTTCAAATCACATTCCTATAACTAAAAACGAACAAAAACAAAACAAACAAACAAAACCGCCCCCCGCAGCAACAGTGTACAGGTAGCCCAATTTCGTGGACTTGGCAACAGTGATCAGGAGTTTTGCATGGGGACAAAATATTTCGCAATGCACGTTTTGCGCATGTTCCAGTCAGGCGAATTTGCCGTGCAGACCAACAGAAAGCTGCTTGGTTTGAAAGTGGCTTGTGCTTCATACAACTCTATAGTGGCAGTGGACAATATACATGTTTTACACGTGAAATTCGCTAATGTCACCTTTATGCTATGCACAACATAGAAATCTACATGACTTGTTACTGAGTTTACCTTCACCCACACCATATCATGCTACAAAAACCCACTTGTCAAAATGCATCCTCTTATCACACGTCTAATAATTATTTCACTGATGAGAAACTGCAACCTAAATGCCATGAACAAGACCAGTGCGGTATCCATAGCAACATCAAAAGACAAACACATCTAGAAACGGTCAGGAAGCTGTGAAGTCAAGGATCGAGAATCTGTGTGTGTGAAATTGGATCATCGGAGAGTGAGACAGTGTGAGAAGATGAGGGAGGGGGAGACAGAGAGCTTGTGTATCTTATTTGAGACTGTGGTTGGTTGTAGCCCAGCCCAAGTAGGGATAACTGCAGGCTGGAGCAGTGGGTGTGGATAAAGGTCTTTATAATTGGTTAGGGTTAGGGTTAGGAGTTAGTTTCTGTTGTAGCACCTTTTGCCACGCCCCTTACTCTAAACTGCAGCTACCTATGTCTTGTCTCGCCCAGCCTGGAGGCTACATATATCTGACCCAGTGTTGCCAAGTCCACCTTTTTCTTGTGGAATTGCGCTACTTTTACACTGTTGCCGCCCAGAGGCACATTTTTTATAATTGATACACTCACATGGGTGTGATGTGCTGGACATCACTAGCTGCTAAATTTAAATCTGCTTTCGCTGGCTGGCGCTGATCCAGAGACAGGCACGTTTTACAGCGCTGCGCATTATAACCAATCACACACGAGTCTGTTGAGTTTATGAATGCAACGGCCAATCAGAGGCGTTCAGATGAGTCATTGATGAAACGCGGTGTTTTGTTCACTGCGCGCTCCCTGACTGAATTCTACTCTCTGGCGAATTAATTCTCTCATCAGAAACAACAGATGTAGCAAACGATGTAAAGTAAGATGTGCATTTCACAGTGTAAACAGCTTCAGTGATTATAATAGGAGTTTTTGAGAGTGTTTGAACTCTGGCTAGACTGAAGTCAATGATAATGTTCTTTGCTCTCTTTCTGTACAATAAAATTGTTATAATTAGTAACTTACAATGTTTTTTTTTTTTAATTAAATTCACGTTAAATACAAAGTCAATTGTATTAAAAATATTAATACCTCGTGCCCCCTCAAAAATAGTAAGTGCATGACGCCCCTGGTCGTATCCCTTGCATTTGTTAAGCTGTAGTGATGATAGCCTAATAATAAGTGCATGACGCCCCTGTTGCCGCCGGTTGTTTTTCATGTCCGCAGGTTAAAGCAACCCCCCAAAAACGTGATATTTAGCCCCTGGAATGCGAATTTTACAGGGGAACCTCACCATAAAACATGTATTTTACCCCCCGAAACACTATTGGGCTAGTTTTGAGTAGCAATTGGGTGGGTTTTATTATGAAAACCTGGCAACCCTGATCTGACCCCACACAAAATCGTCACCTGAGACAGAGGGAAATGTAAATGAGATGAATGGACACTTTCAGATATTGATGCTATTTAAGGGGCTGGAAGCCTGTTTCCACCTATGGGTAAAAATAAAAGGGTGATTGTGAAAGTTGAACAAATAAATACAATAACATTGCCAGATATTGCAAGTCACAATTAGGGAAACAAAATCACATTTGTGAAATATGAAGTCACTGCGAGATATACACTACTATTGAATAGTTTGGAATTTATAATAAAGACATTAATATTTTTATTCAGCAAGGACACATAAAACTGATCAAAAGTGAGAATAAAGGCATTAATAATATATTTCTATTTCAAATTAATTCTGATCCTTTGAGCTTTCTATTCATCAAATAATCCTGAAAAGACCATATCACGTTTCCCACAAAAATATTAAGTAGCACAGCTGTTTTCAATATTGATAATAAGGAAATGTTTCTTGAGCAGCAAATCAGCATATTAGAATGATTTCTGAAGGATCTGGAGTAATGATGCTGAAAATTCAGATTTGCATCACAGGAATGAATGACATTTTAAAATATACTCCGATAGAAATCAGTTATTTTAAATTCTAAAAATATTTCCCAATATTAGTGTTTTTACTGTATTTTTGATCAAATAAATGCAGCCTGGGTGAGCATAAGAAACATCTTTCAAATATATTTGTAAAAAATCTGACCAACCCCAAACTTTTAATCAGTTTTTTTTTTCTAAGGCAGAAACAGGTTTTTATAAGAAGCAGCAAACTCAGGCAAGTAAAGTTTCTCAGTTTTATTTTTAGTAGCTGACATATTGCTCATAATTTTCTGGACATAATTAGTGCTGCAGAAATGAATAATTCAACTCATGTGGCTTGTTGAGCAGAAGTATGCCATACTTTTCTAAGAAATCTTACCTATAGATTTCACCTGGTGGATGATATATATTTTTTTACTTTTAAATACATTCTATTTGATGTCCTATAAACTTCTCAATTCTCCCTCTTCAAAAAAAAAAGTGTTCAAACCTGAAGAGACTGAAAGAATCAAAGGTCTACAGCTAGTTAAACAGGTTTAGAGGGTTTCTGTAGACAGATGATGTTGTGAGTGGTATGCTAAATATTTGCTTTACTAGGGAGTGATCAATGGAGTACAGTGTGAATTCACTAGAGCTGCAGTTTCACTGATAAAATCAGACAAGCCAGCATAGTCATTCATATTTCAATATGAAACATACTAGTGATCAAAACAGGATAGACATTAAAAGTGCACCATTTATTAAAACATAAGCAGAATGAATTTATGCAAATTTTTGTGTAAACAGTTTTGCATTTACACTTAATTTACATTTATTTAGCAGATTTTTTATTCAAAGCAAACTAATCATATACAAATTCACTCTGCTCATTGTCCCCACAAAAGTTACGAAAAGTGTTCAACCAAAAGAATGTTAACATTGTGTAGCCGCAAAGATATCATCATAACATCAAGTCTTACTTCACAAGGTTAAGTTTCATAGTTTGTGATGAAGACACAACATATGACTCACCTATACATAATGTACTGTACTCCACATGTGATCCAAGGAACTCATTAGAGACTAACAATTCAGCAGAAAAACAACATTTCAAAGCAAATAAAACATTTATTTACATGGAACTGTGCCTTTAGGGGTAAAGTGGGCTATGTGTGTTTACAGGTGCATTTCCTTGTAAGAGGTACAGTGACATCTGATAAACCAAGAGATTGTGATACAATTAACAAGGTGTGAATGAAGATTCAGACACACACACTAAACTGACTGGGAATTCTAGAATGCCATTTTTGAGATAATGACATTTTGTTTCCAGAGACACAGTTGAATTTAGAAAATGAATCTGCATGAATGTAGAAAAATATCACTCAAACATGCGCATAACAGACAAGAATAGTGACCTAATTATGAATATAATACAGTGAAACAATAAGGCATTGTGACTAACTGGCAAAAAATCATTGCCAATCAGGTTTGATACAATAGAAAAAATAAAATATTAAAAACAGAACCAATTCTGGCTAAGTTAACACGCTTAAATTACATAGAATTTTTACATTTTTAAATTCACATTATATATCATTTCACAAGGTCCATCGGAACAATTTCAAATATAACAACAGAACAATCTGTCTGGGATGCTTCTCTTCAAGTTTTACGCGACTACTTTGTCTTTGAGCTTTAGACCGAACGCTACAGATACAGACTGTTCTGTTCAGACTCTTTGTGGCTCCTTAAGCTTTGGGTTTATGAAGGTCTCCCAGCTGAATCAAAACATCTTCATAACCACCTCAATCCACTCTCAGACAGTTTCAATATCATCCAATAGAGAACAGAGAGCATGAATTTGAAGTTAAATCTTCTGTATATTCCACAGTGCCACTGATAAATACATAAACTCATGTCCATCATGGTCCATGTCCATCTGCTCTCAGCAGGTGCTGCTCTCCGTGTTGCCTGTGCTGGAAGTATACGTGTTGGTCCTTTTAGAGTACTTCATCGAGCTGAACGAGACCCTCATCCTCTCCACCGTACGGCTGCTACGGCACAGTAGCGTGTTCTTGACGTGCTCCCTGAACTCATCCGAGACGTAATAGTAGATGAAAGGGTCCAAGCAGCTGTTGAGACTGGCCAGGCACAGTGTGAGGACGTAGAAACCGTAGCCGTTATTGGCCCAGCCGTTTCGCAGGAGAGCGTAGTGCACGACCAACATCACGTTACTTGGGATGAAGCAGACCAAGAACGTTACGAGCACCGTGATGATGAGAACCATGGCTCGTTGGCGGCTTTTTCCAGCGCTGCCCTCGACGGTGGAGTTCCCAAGCGAGCGAAGGAGAAGAATGTAAGCTGCGATGATGACCAACATTGGGATGAAGAACACAAGACCTGCCATCACCATAAAATAATAATAAGGTAGCTGAACATCCAGAAACGCATTGCCCGAGACAAAGTTCTTCTGGCTGATACTATTGACATCGTGGCAGGTGGTGATGTTGAGGTCCGAGAGTTCAACTGTTTGCTGGTACAGGTACAAAGGTGTAGTGCTGACCCCAATGAAGATCCAAATACACACAGATACGATGATTGCAAACGTGTTGTTTGTCCTTTGCTGTGTGAGTGGGTGAGCGCAGACCCAGTACCGCTGGATGCTCAGACAAGCGATGAAGAGGATGGAGCAGTACATGTTGCCGTAGAAGAAACCCACGAAAACTTTGCACATCCCTTCCCCGAAAGTCCAGTTATTTCCTTTCAAATGGTAAGCGATCTTGAGAGGCGTCCAGATAACAAACATAAGGTCAGCCAGCGCTAGGTTGCCCATGTAAATGGCAGCAGGATGAATTTTCTTTGACCGGAACAGCAAGACCCATATAGCCATCGCGTTGGTTGGCAACCCCACCACAAAAACAATTATGTAAATAATTGGCAGGAAGACGGTTGTGAGACCGCTCTTTAGTGTATCTGTAACGATCTGGTCAAAGAAGAATTTGCCTGATTCTTCATCCTGCACGACTATTAAACCTCGTCCTTTCTCTCTAACTGAAACAAAACACATAGATTCACATTCTGAATGACTGAATTACAAATAAAAGTACGTTAGCAAAACAAGTAGGCCTAAGCTAAAAGGATGTTAGAAAACTACGGACGAATTAAAGCGACTCACCTGTCTCCGCCGATGCAAAAATCACACACACGTAAAAAAACAAGACCCGATATCTTGCGGAGTCAGCCATAATACGTGTTTCTCAAACTTCTCGGTATTTCCTAAAGAGGTATGAAAGTCCGACTCTTGGAGCGTCGAATGAGCTCTGCTGTTCCTCTCCCTTAATTCTCTCTCTGGGTTTATTGGCGGGTCGCAACCAACTTCTCTCCCTGAATTGTTTTTACTCGACCTTAAAGAAGGAAGGACACACCTTACTGAGAGCTCTAAACACGCCGTGTTCTCTTACCTGCGTGACGTCACACGCACGCACTCCAGTTTCGAGTTCTGACCGAAATCAACCGCGTGAGCTGAGTGGGAGGACAGAGAGACCGAGACTGTATGGTGTCATACTGAAACAGTTAACATTACAGTTTTAACAACAATGCTATTTAAAGAGTATTTACGTGCCATTTTTTTTTTAATGTAGGCTATATAGTTAAGACTTAACTCTACATGTTCTTACCAAATGTACCCTTTCATTTGATTTTTCATCTTTATTTCATCAATCTGACATTACATTACCACTCCCCCTTGCTTTTAGTCCACAATATGCAGTGTTATTGTGAATAACACACTAAAACTAAAATGACTGATATCGCTAAAATAAACTAAAATATATACTGATATTAAGATAAAAACGTAAACGTGAGGGACAGTTAGACTTGTTGCCTTGGCAACTAAAATATATTTAACTCTGCTGTGTTGTTCGCGGTCAAAAGTGACCGAACACCTGAAATTTAACTTTTTTTCCCCAGTAAAATCACTGTAATATATTTTTGTTCAATAATATTTTTTCTTCTTTATTTTGTGTTTTGAGATAATTTCATGATATGAATTAATATTTATGCAATAATTATCATTTTTTCCCCATTGAAAATAATTTTTTTCCCCCCTAATAATTTAAATGATGGCAGTATTACATGTTAAAATACAAACAATGCCTTTAAAATCCATTTTTTGAAGGAAGATTAGTGCCATCTGTTGGGAGTAAAAAAGAAAAACCTCAAACAACGATCATTTAGCTTTTTTCGAATCAAGTCCAAGTGTGTGTTTTTTTCTTTTTTGTGGTTACATAGCGACTGCCATAAAAGTTAGTACGATTCCGATGAAATTTGTAAAATTTCAAAACATTTTTTTTCGGTCTAAAATGAGGGTTAAGTATCCTAAAATGAAACTGAAACTGTAATAAAAATAAATATATTTGCAAATATTAAAACAAACTAAAATTAATATGAAAACTGAAAATATAAAAAGAAAATCTAATCAAAATATGAATAAATACCATAATAGTATATAGATAATACTAAATCAACACTAACGACAACTCAGAACATGTAGATTGAAATGTACAATTTGTCCTGAGGCTAATTTAAAAAGAATACACAACCGTTTTGACAAGGTTGCATAACGGTCTGTATTTTGTCAACACCATCAGATATTTATAAAAACATTTATAAAATAAAATAAGTCTTTATCCTAGAGGTCCTTTTTTTCATATGCACCTACTATGATTTCAACAAGGCCAAATTGGCTCTGGTGGGCTTTGTAGTTTTGCATAATTTTAGGTAGTTGTGCTTATATTTTCTGAGTTCAACCACTCTGCCATCACCTATATTGTAAATAAGTTGTCTGAACTGTTTAATCTAAAGTGATTCATTGCTACACAATTATTTGACCTATGTAACTTGTCTTTTCAATGAAGTGTAATTTGAAAAAGGACAATGAACTGTAAACGGTGTGTGTGTGTGTGTGTGTGTGTGTCTCAAACAACTGCAAATTGATTTTATGATTTGACTAGTTAAATAAAAAGTTGCTCTGTGGACTTTGGTCATATTCTACCCGCTGTCTGTCTCGTTGAGAAAACAAGGCCACATATACACACAGCAAATCATAGGCAGACATGGAAAGACAAATTTATTGATCAATAAATGCAGGCCATTCTTTAAAAAAAAATGACAAATACAAAATACACCACAGATAAAACAACATGTGCTTTGAAACCAAGTGGGGTACAGGTGTGCAATAATTATAAGATTATGCATAAAAATGAGACAATGAATGGTGCTACCATTCCAGCATTTAGTGCGTTAGAACACGTGAATGAGGTTATGTTTGCTGGTTATACATTCACACATCTAAAATTGGTCACCACTGGTGTGATTCACATAACATTTCACATTCTTTTAGAGATACTTGTACATGCATTTATGTAAATAGGAATAAATGCAAAATGGTTTCTGTAACAGGTGCTCAAAATATATAACAGCTCCAGTTATTCAGTCAACTTCCACCAAACTGGATTAAAGGTCATTCTGAGAAATCCCACTAAACCTAACAGACCAAACAATTTTCAGGTCTTAAAAAGGCAACCTGTAGTGACATAATGGCAACACAATAATAACAACACTTCAACATTTCCATGGTGACTATGTCATCAAACAGGAGGCCAATTTGTAGTTCCAAGAACTGAGAACCCTTGGATGTCCTTTTAAGGTCTTAAGATCTTCGATTTATGTGAGATTATGAAAAAAAGATGTTTACTCGTTGACTGAATTACATGTTAAATGTTGACTAACTCAGTGCATGTTGTTCCTCCAGGCTTTACAACATTTAATAATAAAATAACAAGAGCTTATATAGTTTTCAAGATGTATTGTAGAGCATCAGAGCATAGCACAGATTTAAAACAGTTCTCTGTCTGTCATTCTTAGTAGGAAGTGCTCTGCGTGTTTCCAGAGTCTGACGCGTAGGTACTGTTTTTCTTTGAATACTTCAGTGCACTGAAGGAAACCCGCATCCTCTGCGCGGTGCGTTCGCTGCGGCAAAGAAACGTGTTTCTTACATGCTCTCTGAACTCATCCGAGATGAAATAATATACAAACGGATCGACACAGCTGTTGAGGCTGGCCAGGCATAGCGTTGTAATATAGAAGCCGTAACCACTGTCCTGTACTCCCATCGAGAGCAGTGAGTAATGCACCATAACCATGATGTTACTCGGGGTGAAACACACTAGGAACATCACCAGCACAGCGACGATGAGGATGACAGCCTTCCTTCGCTTCTGAACGATGTTAGTGTCTGTCATCGAGCTCTTTAGAGCACGTAGCATCTGCACGTACACCACTATACATATTATGCAGGGAACTATGAATCCAACAACACCCATAATCAGGAAGTATATCGAAGGGTAGCGTGATTGGCTGGGGCGAGTGACATCATGACAGGTAACGATATCCAGGTTTGTGACCTTCACGGTCTGGTCATAAAGAAAAAGAGGCACGGTAATGGCCCACACAATCAGCCACACACACACAGACACACCAGTTGCCAATTTGTTGTTCCTTTTCTGCTGGGAAAGAGGATGTACTATAGCCCAGTACCTCTGGACACTAATACATGCAATGAAAGCAGTTGAACAATACATGTTCCCGTAGAAGAAGCCCACCAGGACTTTGCACAGGGCTTCTCCGTAGATCCAGTGATTCCCGTTAAAATGGTACGCGATCTTTAAAGGAATCCAGATTACAAACAGCAGGTCTGCCAGCGCAAGGTTGGCCATGAAAATGGATGAGGGATGTTTCTTCTTCGTCCTGAAGAGGAACACCCAGATGGCCATAGCGTTGGCCGGCAAGCCCACACTGAAGACGATGATGTACACCACTGGGAAGAAGATCTGGGTGAGCCTGCTGTCCAGTACAGCAACAGCAGTGGACGTCACGGACACTCCATTCTCAGTTTCATCACCAGTAAAGCCCCTGTCCGTGTCAGAACCTATAGATAAAAATAGAACGACAGAATGAAAGAACAATAGATTGATCAATGATAGATAGATAGACAAATATACTGATGGATGGATGGATAGAAAGACATAATGATTCATAGTAAACAAATCAATAATCAGCATGGGTCTGCATCAGCATGTAAGCTATGAAATCTGTCTACTGTAAAGGAGCAAACATGTCTGATGTGATCCACACTATTAGTACTCATAACAAAGGCTATACTGTATACAGCAGCAAAAAACATGCATTACAAACCTCAGGCATTTTGTTGTTATTCAACATACTTGATAGGTGAGGCAGCTATAAACAATGTGAAATCAAACTCATAGCCTACATATATACACACACTGGTTACCCAAAACATAATACATTTTTACATAATAAAATATACTGCTTCGTATATACACCACGAGTGCACTTATGCGTACCAGAAGTAGCCTAACATGCACATTCAACAGAGGCCTAGACCGTCATTAATATCTGTCAAATAGATTTAGGCCAGAGAAACATTAAAAGAATAGGGAAAAAACGAAGTCAATTGAAACACTTCTCTTTAACTATAAACAGGAAAACAAATTCTTACTTTGACTAGACAGGTTCACGCTGATTAAGAGAAGCAAAGCGGAAATCCAGATCAGTGGGTGCACCATTATTCCTGCGAAATTAACTGGAACGATTGTATTTGTCGAAGCGTGGACTGTTTCCGTCATTAATGTAAACAGATTCAGCTCGTTTTTATAGTCAGGTGTGGAGCTCACCGTCCGTCAAAGACATGTGACCTCCCCTGGGCCACACCCTTCAGATTCAGAAGAGCTGTGACCAGGTGACACATTTACATATGTATTTTATATATGTCTTGGGTTACAGCAAACACAAAACGTCAATGTAGGCTACCCTTCATTTGTAAGAACAAATGCGCCCTGTTTAGTCACTCTTTATTTTCTGAATTAACGGGACTAGCTATAGGAAGTGCTGTCTCTTCTTTTCTTATGAAGATACAGTTAAAATATAATAACCATCCGAGATGTCAGACGCTCAGATTCAATTTATTTTAAAGTTATCAACATACCCGTTGGTAACCTTCTTGAAATATTAACCTAATTTGATTCAATATTTTCTATGATATACTCTGGTTTTAAATTCAGTTTTTTTTATTTTATTGTTTTATTGCAATTTAGTATTAATTTATTAATTAAAAATGTCAAGAAAACAAGCCTAGCCTGAATGAAGCCTTTTTTTTTTTTTTTTTAATAAATCAGTACTTTGTTAGGGCATTATTTGTGGCACTCGAGAAATCACGCTGCGAAATTGATCCAAAAGGTGTGCGTTTTTGCGCCAATGCATCGTTAAAGGATCAGTGTGTTGTGCAATATTCACATATAAAACTTTAAAGGCCAAATAAAAAATATTGGTATAGTAAAATTCTCTAATTCACAAGATCAATACATATTTTTTTAAACCGCTTTGTCTAATTTAACGCATCCTTACAGAAGT